AGTGGGGTGGGTGATTGCCAGCTAGACAGTCTTTCATGCGTTTTCGCTCTGTCTCACACGGAGGTGTGGACGTTCTGTTTTAGAAGAGGTTGTTTCATGGGGACTTGACCATCCACATGGGATTTCTTTGTCAGTCTAAAGATCGCCTCTCAGGTGTGGATCCCTGGGTTGTTTTGGCTTGAAGAGATGATCCAACCCGACCAGCTTTTCATCCAACCCGACCAGCCGAGGCAATGCATTCTGAAGCGCTTGCCACAGCAGGGGCCCATCTACAGCGAGGCTTCGCAGCGTTTGGAGATGTTCCAAGGGACGGTTTGGGGTCCGAAGCTGATCCTGCGCATCGATCGATCCACCATGATCCACATGCAGTCTAAATGATTCAAACTTTCGCCTTTCGGAGGGGAAGAAGCGAACATGTGGCGTCATTCGTGGGATTGGTTCTCTTGAAAGCCCTGTTTGCCTTGGTCGGTCCGGACGCCGTCCACCGGACCGGTTGAGCCTTGGACGTGTGACAGCAAACATCACACCGTCCTCCGGCCCTCGGTGTTTGTCATTCACGGTGGAGGTTGCGGGACATATAAGTCAAGAGTTTGGGGCGCAAAATCAGAGGTGTAACGTTTGTTTGGGGCTTGTGGGAAAGGTTGTGTTATGTTGTTTTACATGTATACTTGCATTAAGTTTGATCGGAGGGATGATGCTACCCGTAGCATATGGTAGCATGTCAAAATCATTCCAAATCAATTGTGTTGAACAGGTTTCACTATTCCAATCAGGAATGAAACATCAACCGACAAGCTCGTTGACAGGCAAGAAAGAACACAAATGCAACGTTTGGATATGCAGCAGTCAAATCTTAATTCCCAATGTTGTAGCAAAGGTAGGATGAGTTCAATCATCTATGCTTAGCAAAGATGTCAAGAATGAAGATGGCAAATCGGGTTTTGCAAGATGCAACCACACCACCCAAGGTACTTCCGATGGACCCCATTTAACCTTGACTGGTAGGATGTGTCCTTCTCGTCAAAGGGCACGTCAGTGCACAAGGGAACCAATTTGGTTGAACCATTCCAGAACTACGTATTGGAGAACAAGAAGGGGGTGGGACGCTTTGGCTGTAGATCTGTCCAGATCTACGTATTGGAGCATGGAGGGGGATGAGTCCCGGGGATGAGTGAACTTCATGGCACTTCTTGCACCCGTGCTGTTCGTCATGCAGTAGTGTAGCACTACAAGCCGCTGGTTGTAGCCGGACGGACTGCGGAGTCCAAGATCCGGCACGGATCGCGGTCTTCGTGTTGGTCCAAAACTGAGCGAATTTGCACAAACACTCCATGCATGGAATTGTATGCCTACATCTACATGCATCCCTTTTCAACCACCCCAATGAAGGTATGTATTCCATACATGGGGTGTGTGGAATGTCAACGACTGCCGATCTGCCTTGCCTTTCCTGTCTCGGTTGAGAATGTGGAGTTGACGACAAGCAGCACGTTTTCCAAACCCATGGGTTGGCGTGAGAAGATATTGGAGTTGATCTAAAGGGGGGTGTAAAGGGTTTTTATCTAAAACGACCTTGACTTAAAACAATATTGATCAACCACTATCTTGCATACTTGTTTGACAAATCACTGATCCACTGTGGCTGATGAAGCGGACCACGAATTCCAACGTGTGAAGATGGGGCTCCACTATTGAATTTCCGTTATTTGGAGGAAATCTTTGTGGCATGTGCACTGACCAATCGCTGGATGTCATCTCACCAAGACGGACACTGAAGCTTTGCGTGAGTCGTTGTGACCGAAGACTTGATGCTGTGTTTGATGAACAGACTTATAATACATCATACCTTATGAAAGACACTCCATGGGACTGGAATATATATATATATACACACCCGAAGTCACCGAATGGTCGGCAAACATGACATACATGGAGTGTTTGGCTTACGAAAAGCACAGACTGGAGTGTGTCGGCAGATTTGTTGCGAAGGGGTAAGCTCCTGACTTGCAGCAAAGACGGAAAGTCCCCTGAGACGTCGGTGAGACATCTTGTTTGTCCATGAGACGTTCTGACGTCCATAACGAGCCGGTGGCATGAACTAGAGGGAAAGGGGTAAAACGTGCTGCGAACGAGACGACTGGGGAGTCTAAGAATTGTACACAGCATTACGTTGGCCTGTTGACAGAACTCAGGATGTGAGGAAATAGACATGGACCATCACAAATCAGATAATCATTCAGCCACGGTGACAATCCCCATTACTGTACTACTATGGGGTTCTTGAGGCACAGCTGTTGTTCTTGAAATACTCTGCATGTAACTTACAGGATTCAGTAACCACGTGCAATAACCACTTATATATATATATAGTATGAAGCCAACAGTAACCCATAAACATAATTAATAAGTAGCCAACAGTTCCATACTGGACCTTTGGAACCCTAGTTACGCCCTGGCTCCTTTTATAGTCACTGGGGATCCACATGTTAGGCTAGGGTTTCCGGGGTCCATGTAGAGTAATCTTCCAGCATTTGATTTGAGTCGGCCCCTATCTCTACGGAATGGACGCTGCCCACTACCGCGATGCACTGACGCGATGCATCGCGAGGCGTGTCGCGTGGAGAGTATCCTCGGGAACTGGCAAGCCGCCGCGGACCTGGCCTGAATGCATCCGGGAGATGGCCAGGGAGCGGTGAAAGCCGCGGCACCAATGGGGCCCGTGATCAGGTGTATAGTCCCTCTAGCAGAGTTCCAAGGCATGATCATGTTTCATCTATAAAATAGGTAGACTTGACCTAAGCTTACACTTATACACCAACCTCGACCCCTCAACCCTGCGGCAAGGCACCACTTGCAGCTTTCACGTCATCCAATACCATACAAAACCTGGAAATGCTTTAGACTTGTAGGATTAGCTCGATGTTTTCAATGGCGACCAACTTCCCTACATGCCTACAAAACAATGGACACAACAGGCTCATAAACACTGCCCAAATTTCAGTGACATGACAAGTACCTGCGGAGCGCCTGTGCTCCCCCCCGAGGCTTTGGAGACGGCGGAGCAGGGCGTGCAGATCCTGGGAGAAAAAAAACACTTGGGAGGAGTTGTTTTTCACAGATAAGACTTTTAAGACACCAGCACCGCCCACTCTGAGTGGTGTTATTCGATGTACAATACGACAATACATCGCCGGGGTGTCAATACAACCACCGCTGTAGATGCGATGTTAGCAATAAATAACTATACGGGGTTGCTTCATTAAGATGAATTCATACGTTCCGATGATGAACTCTCGAAGCTGGAAACGGATGACGGAATGTGAAAGACTCGCATGACTCGTGTTTTGCTCGAGGAAGGAATCAATAAGGATCGAGTTACTAGACTTTGTTAGGCCCTTTGCGTTGCTTGCTGACTTTGCCCAGTTGAACGGGGCACCTACACTGGTCTTTGGTGCAGCGGGTCCACAGTCATAAGGGCATTGAAAAGGAATTCGTTACGCTCATGCAGCTGCCACGGAGAAGGTTTCCATTATTGTTTCTCATGTTTTCCTGATGTGGCCCCAGAAGTTATCCATGTCAATGTATTTATTTTGCTTGGCTGCGAGCTTAGTTTATAAGCTTAGCGCTTGGATCATGAAGGGTATCAGAAAGGAGCACTGACAAATGTCTTTTGTAGATCAACGTATATATAGAATGCATGAACTACCTACTAGGCACGGCAACGGGACCCTAGGTTTTTGTCAGCTGCTAGGCCTCCTGGTGCGAACCAAGAACACACCTGGACCTGGATGTGTTGTATGTTTTAACGAGCAGGAGTCGAAAGGAGCCGGTTGAACCTCAACCAGTGCAACATCCCAAGCTCTCTTTATTGGATGTGTGGCTCAAATTGGGAGACCTCCCAGGCAACGGACTCCTGGAAGAAGTGAAATAGACCAGTCTACCAGGCCAGGAGTTGTTTTTCTGTTTAAAGACTGCTGATAAATACTCCCCAAACTTGAAATCTGGGCAAAAGACACCCCTTGTTTGTAGAGGAACTTCGTTTTTATTGCTGTTTTTTTGGGCGATCCAATAAGGGGCGCCATCCGGCGCACCGGGTGGGCCATCTCCGCATCCCGAGGATTTGCCCCAAGTACGGCCCATTGTGGTTTGCTGCACCCAGTGAGTCCGGAACGTTCGATCGGAGTGGTCGAATGCGGTAGATGCGAAGCGGGGAAGAACCACAACTCGAAGTTTTCGGATCACCGGTAGATGCAAGGATATGGTGAGGATATGTTTGGATTTCATGGTCATCCAGGCCAGGGGGCGTAACCAGTTTCAGGGAGGGTAGTTCTGTCCTGGCAGGTTTGTGGAGAACCTAGCGGTCCAGGTTCAAAGATCCACACAAAACAGTCAGTATGTTGAGGGTGCGAGGGTGCGAGTTCAGTTGAGGATGGCAGGAGTTCTCCAAAAGGTCATTAGAAGATATTAGAAGTCCAAAAACTTTTCACTTGTCCATATACTTGGCTCCTGACGAGAAGGGTGGCAGATATATAAAGTCCAATCCTGGCTCCTTAGGAGCTTGTGAGCTCGTGCCAATCTCTTTGTTGCAACGATGGAAGAATTCACGGGGTCTCAGGGCTTCATGGCGACACCTCGCTTTGGCAGGGGGGGTCGTCAGGGACCTTCGGAGGTATGTGGAGCCCCAAACGATTTCTAGCCATTGATCAGGAGGGAGCGATTCGGAGCCGGGGGATCCATATCATTCCATTTTCGCCTTGGAACAGGGAACCCAGGAGCTATACAGGGAGTTCCGTTCCCCAGGCCCTTGCTCGATTTGTGCGAACGGCATGTCGATTCGACACGGTCCGACTGCTTTGCACCGACGGTGTTGGCGGTTCGTTCGCGAACACTGTGTCGCCGTGCCTCTCTCCGACAGATAGTATTAGGCTCAATCGCGAAGGTCGGCGAAGTCCTTAGTTTGTGTCAGGTGAAGTCTTGACATCCAGTCTTTGGCGCGCGGCATGCGCGGCACACCGCAGTTCGGTCATGTGCAGATGAAAGCCATTCTCTTTCTGGTGCTTTTGGCAGGCGCTGGGCGACAGAAAGCACCCTCAACCTATCGGAATAGATCTGAGTCCAACCCCAATAAATACATTGCTGGTCACTCTGACTTCCGCCTGTGTTATTATTGGAGAAGCTCGTTGATAGGCAGACACAGACTGAGTGAGACAGACAGATCTGTCATGACCCACCTGGAGCCCTCTCAGTCCACCATGTGTCCGCCGCGAACGACCGGACGCATGGGACGGTCGTGACCGGTGGGTCTCGTGGTGCCAGTCTCCCCACAGCCATGTAGTCACGGAAGTTGTTCTTGTTAGCTGCACTTTCCAAGGGGTGGCTCATGGAGATCCATAAGTCTAAGTTAGTGCGAGGGCTTCCATTGGTGACCTTTCATTTGTGCCAGGGTATTTCTGTGCCAGGTCATGAGTGCATCCGCGTGGATGACGAGATTGAATGGTCCAAGTCCAAGTGGGACCAGCTACATGCAGACTGCTCGTGGTCCATCAAGGGAGCCTTGGTGTTGGTTCATCTGAGAGTTGGTGGGATGGGATGGAGTTTTTTTTTGTGTGGAGAGTAGGGATCCCAACTTTTCAGGAGGGGTTCATCCGGTTTGATTCTCCTAAGATTGGACTGAAGGTTGAAATTAATCAGATTCTGAGGCTGTTCTTGCTGCCACTCGAGTCTCAATGAAGGCCAACACCTGGAGTTTCGGGTTTTGAGACCTAGCAAGACCCTTCCCAGTTTCCGCATAGCGGAAAGATCCCCACCATCCCCACCATCCCGGAAAAGGAAGTCGAAGGCCGAAGGGATCAGTGCACGATGTCCCAAGGGCCAAGGGGGGTCCAAGCGCTGATTCGAGACCAGTTCCTCGGCCCTGGTTTGTAGTGGGCTGGAAAGGAAGGAATACATCAGAAATCATCAGAATGTCTTTCATCTTCTCACTGTAAACCAGTAAAAAAGAACAGATCTGTCGATGGGACGTACTTTGGGGAGAACAACATCATCCCCCGGGCCCCCGTTCGCTGGGAGTTTGGACCGACCGGAGTTGTTCTCCGGATCGAGCAGACTGAGGAGGTTGCAAGGGTGAGGGCTGCGTGAAGAGGCGCTTGCCCTTAGACCGTCCCTTTGGGAGTTGTCGGCACACAGATTCTTTCCTGCTGAAGCACAATGGCTTGCAGAACTACAAGACCATGCTGGAGCTCCTGCAAGAAAAGAGCCAAAAGTCCTCTGGAAGAAGATGAGTCACTTTTCTTTCGACGGTGTCCACGGAGGTGCCATGGGGGTGCCATGCAAGCGCATATTTTTTCACCTGTTAAAGAGATGACTCCTGTTTTGATGGGAAAGGCATGTTTTTTTGGATGAATGGCCCTGATATTGGTCACTCATTGATCAGTTGCACCATGGCACCATTTGGGGCTACGCTTTCTGGACCAGGTGCCCGAAACTGAGAACGTCTCAGGTACTCCGAGAATTGCGCGGGGGCCAGCATTTTCAACCGGAAGTGCAAGCGTCGCGAAGCTCAAATCATGGAGGCCTTTGAATTCATTGCAAGGGCTCCCACGGTGTCTCACCACATGAACCCCTGTGGATCCCGTTCCCAGGATCAAAGGGTGACCGTTTTTTGGCGCCGAAGCACTTCTCAGTTCTCCCATGTTGGCGAAAAAGTGGTGTTCTCCTGGGATCCACTGGGGAGCAGCACAGCTTTTACTTTGTTTGTGTACTTAAAAGTAAGGGGCGGCATACCCTTTTGTGGTCATTTGTTTGAGCCTCATCCATGTATCATGAATAAACGGATTTTTGATCGAACCAAGGACCAGAAGTTTATGTCCCAGCTCAACGAAGAAGAAAAGGCCACGGTGCATGCTGGATTTGAACCTCGGCTCCAGACTCCAACCGTTCCAATGGTGTTCACCTGGCGGGTTGGGGGACGTCCCCGCGACCGCCACTCGACGGAAGAAAAACACAAAACTGAGGATAAGACCCTGAAGAGCCTGGTGCCTTCGGATGCCTACGAGGTCATCCAGGCTCCGCGCATCTGCCTTTAGTTCGACGATTCCCTGTTTGAAAGGAAGAGGCCCGGTAAATGGTAGGAGATGGTAGGAGTAGATGCTGTCCAAAACTTCATGTGGCCTTGTCTATGGTTGTTTGATGTTGTTTTGGGAGAAACATCCCCAACAACTCTAACGCCAAACGATCCAAACGATCCAAACGTCATCCACCCCGTCAGATCGCAACACACCGCCTCAACAGCACGGACGGATGTTGGCAGCCCATGGATGGTGGAGCTCCAGGTCAATACATGTCTATACAGTACATGTGTGCTCCAATTAACTGGTAACAGTCATTTAAAGGGTCTATACAAGTTTTCTGCAAGTTCATTCTGGAATTCCTCTAGGTGTTCAGAATTTATCCCCCCGCGCACTTGAAAGGTCAACAAGGTCCTCAAGGAAGAAAGACGCTGAGACAACAGAGAAATGACATGCTACTGTACAAGAACGCCATTTGTTGAGAAATCCAGAAACCAAATAGCCAGTGGCGATAACCAAGTGCCTGTGGCGAAAACCAAAGATGGGCTGCTTTTGGTTGTTTGGGGATGATGGCAGCGAGTCGCGGATGGACAAACAGCTGTTGTTACTCCACCCTGCCGGGTGCTGTTTGGAGCCACCCCTAAATTCGGATAAACGGCAATACTGGTAACAATGGTGTTTGTTTTCTGGCAGAGATGAGGTTGGCACACAGCTACTGTACAAGAAAGCCACGAAACAATGGACCAAATGAGTACGAGCGTGTACACTAGCGTATTACTGAGGAGGTGCTAGCCCTTGGGAGCCTTTGTGAGCCTGCCAACTGATCAAGATGTCAATAGACACCTATCGTTCCTTTTCCCTGGATTCTCCTTGAAAGACTGCTTCCAGGGGCTTGCTAGAAGAAAACACAAAAGAACTGAGTCTTACAGTCTTACAAAAGACAACAAAGAGATCCAACGAAGCCGAAAGATCAAGAAAGATGAAAGATCCAATCTCGATTTAGTGAAGCAGGACATGGGGGTTCGTGTTTGGAAATAGTTGTGGTTTGGACATAGCACTTGATTATTCAGGTTTCAATTTATGTTAAACAATTCTGAGGATTTGTGGTGCGGTCGTTGTATGTAATTATGTATTATAAGCCATACATATGACTCCTTACCTGACATCAATGTGTTCAACCCGATGCGCTGCTGTTGGTCCGGTCCAACCTGTCATCCAATAGTAACAATCTACTGCGACCGCAGTTGGCATCAAATCGACCTCAAAAACAATCACCCCAACCTCAAACACATCCCAAACACTTGATCAAACACACGATTGACAAATTCCAACGCTTGGATTTGCCAACCCCGATCGTAGTTTAGAGAGGCCTTCTCCAGCTAGCCTTGCCCAAAGCTTGAAATGTGTTAAAATATATAATCACAATTGAGTACGCTATTCCAGAGGTCACCTGGTTTGGCTATGTGTTGACCGCTCAAGGCAGCCTCAGGTTTGCGTCACATCCACAGGTCTGGCACACCTCGGCCTGCGGTCAGAAAAATCGGGTCTGGGCAGGGCATGGATATTTTTATCAAACAAATATCACACACGTTTCATGGTCCATCATGTAATATGAGTATTCCGAGTATTTCGGTGTTTGCTTTGTGTTGGATGACCCGGGATGTTTGAGGGAGTTGGGAACAGGTGCTGGTGAAGAAGATGAAAGGTCATGGGCCTGAGCTGAAGCGAGACCTGAACGGGGCCATGTTGAAGGTTTCGGGCCTCGTCCAGAAGCTTTTGCAGGGTTCACCTGAAGAGACACTTGGAGAACTTGAGCCTTCCCCTCACGCGAAAGGACACCTTCCATCAAAAGAAAGAGGTCCAACTTGGCCTTCCGCTGGACTAGATTGGGGATGATTTAAGGTGTTTATGGGACGAATACCACCTGCACCATCTGACATAGACTCTGACGGGAGAGAGAGAGAGAGAGAGAGAGAAAACAAAACAACAAGAACACAAGCACCGCCCATGAAAGGGACGGACTTTGATCACTGACGGGGGCGGAGTTCTGATTTGGTGAGGAAGCAGGCAGCGAAGGAAGCGATCATGGCCATGCCGGACACCGTTCCAGCACTCTCCGAAGAGGAGGAGGCTGAAGCCACGAAGAAGGCCCAGGAGTTTGAGAAAGAGGCAGATGAACACCGTGGAAACTTGGTTTTGAAAGTGGGTCAACAAGGAAGGCTTGAAGAATGCAGAAGTCTTTATGAAGGGATGACGAGACGGAGGGTTCAGAAAAAAACAAACACAACTTCCAACTTTCAATCATTGAAACATGTTGAAACGCCCTATGAAGCCTTTGTGGGTACTCTATAGAAGCGCAGAGTAACTACGAGACTCCAGAATGAGGTCACTTAGGCCTTGAAAAGGTCACTTACCAATCCTGAAGAGGTCACTGGGAAGGTCTTATATATTTAATATATAGTACACAGTGTTTTGGCCGTTCACCATCTTCAGCCATTTCAGTGCCCGAATCAATCAATCCGTTTTTTTTGTGACGGTTCTTCCATATGTCAGATTCATTTTAGACCCAGGCATGCAACGCCGACATATTGTCATCAATTTTCAGGGTGGCCACCCAGAGGAGTAAATATTCACCCACTGACCCCGTTGGTGGAAAGTTTGCACGACGATACGTAAGTCATTGACTGACATATAGAAAACCATGGAAGACATCCATCCTTTAGGCGTTGTTTTGTTTGGGAATGAACCCCAAAACATCCAGAAAGAGCCAGGACGTTGGAACTGTCATTCACCCCCTCTAAAAGCCACATGTCATATACGTATCACC